ACGAATATCATATAATTACGTTGATCAAATTTCGTGCATCAACATATTGAAAACTCCATGCAAGATAAAGTTCAAATCTTTAGGTAAATCACTCTTAATTCTTATGTTAAATTCGCTTATGATCAACCAACCAAATGTGATTAGAATGATTTGACTTTTATATTCGCTTATGACTTTTATGAGTCTCTGTTGCAGCTTATAAATACAACAAGTCCCATAATTCATCACACATGATTTTAACTTATAAAATTAGACATTCAATCAAATTACGTGTACCAAAAAAATGGCTTTCAATCAAATTAACTCCGTTCACATTCCTTCTTTCAATAGACTTTCCCCCCTTTATCAGCAGGAAATGGCTTTTTCCACCATTGTCACCGACATCGATCACCAAGTATTTATCTGGAATTTTTACTTTGACCTGGCTAACTTGGATATCCTGTAGGTCGACGTAATAGTGTAACTTACAAACGAGATGGGATATATTCAGGTCCTCAGGAATGGAGTGTAAGGGATCATTTCGTTTTGACCTGTAGGTCAGACGTAATAGTGTAACTTAAAAACGAGATGGGATATATTCGGGTCCTCGGCAGTGGAGAATAATGGATCATTTTGTCTCTTCCGTCACCTTGGCTTCCCCGAGGCTAAATCATTGCTTACTTTACTGCTATCATTGTAACGGTGAGAGACGAGGCAGTAAGAGGAAACTATCAAGGTCCAATTGTGTCGGGAGGGCTACATTGATTGAAGACTTTGTTCGAAGGTCCAATTCCAAGAAAATAAAAAATTACTCATTTTTACCTAATGTAAGTTTTTTTTCTTGGTAAAAAATACATGGAGATGGTTGGCTAAACCCATAGGGGTTATGGAATAAGAGTATTTTTGCATTAGTTATATCTAATAAAATTAATTTGTTTACAGATATTATTATCCCAACTAAAAATTAATTGTATTCTCCCAAATTACTGAACCTTTTCTTCAATTGAATTAATATAAAAATGCTAAAAAATTAATATTTGACCTGCCCAGATGGTAGCTTCAATGGTTCTTTCATAAAATGGCCAATGTTAAAAATGAAGCTTTGATATAACTATTAAATTCATTGAGGTCGGCAATACTGCTTACCACCACCGACCGAGTCCACCAACACATGATCATCGGAGAATACAAACGAAAACGGTTGGATTGGATTAAAAGCTTGATGTTCACAAAAAAAATATGTTATGGTACTTCTCAGAACAAAGTAATAGAGAGAAGTTAATACACAGAACTCACCTTACGCTCGTCCATCTGACTACACAAGACGGTCTGATTGTAATCTGCAGAAATGGAGTAAATTGATGATTTAAACACATTCTTTCATTTGTTTTACCAATCAATTAGTTAATATATCGGCAATATTCAGCCCCCCAGCAAAGTTCAAATGGGACCAATACATAAACTCTGAATCACTTTTAAAATTATGAGTTAAAACTATCTAATTTTTGAAGAAATTGCATCTAAATTTTATTAGGAGAAAATAGCAGATAGATAAAAAGGTAGGTTTCATGAAACCGCACATCAGTATGGTTCTTAATTAGCACAAGACTGCCCGCCATCGGGCTTATTCCTTATAGCACAGGGCCAGATTGTGCTTTCCACAAAAGGAATAATTTCTCCATACTTGGGCAAGTCATAAATGCAGACAGGCTTTGAAAACAGCAGCTCATCATTTTTTCCTTTGAAAAACCACTTGTCTTTACCCAAGCACGCCACGGGTCTACATGCTCCAGGAACACGGAAGCTGGTCACCTGAGACCACGACTCATTCTCTCTAACCAACAAATGGAATTTCGTCATGCCTTCCACCTCATGAAAAAGAACACAACCGAGCAACCCCTCATATTCTACCAGACAAAACCCACGAGGCCAAAAACACTTGTCGTTTACATGTCGCCATCTGGACCACGAGAATTCTTCAGTGGCAAAGTCGAAGGAAACTATGCCGAAAAGACTCCTTGAACTGTTGTCACGTGCAAGTGAATAACAAATCCCATCTATGTAAACAGAGTCACAGAATATTGAGTAATCATCTGACGGAGGTTGAGGATTATTGGATACAGGACGCCAAGAACCAGTCTTGAGGGAACACACCTCATAACAGGGATCGTCTTCATTATATTCTAGGCTGTCGCTGTTGTCGACAAACATCAATACCTTATAGTCTTTAGATAGCGGGTCGAATCCGAACCCAGCGCAAAATAAGCTAGTATAAATGGTTTCAAAGGTGAGACGTTGTCTTATGGGGGAGCAGTCGAGGGATTTGAATTCATTAATTAAGGGGTTCCACACCACAACTGTATTCGTCCTCGCAATAATTTGCACTATCCTGCATACAGATAGACCCATGGCAGCTGCTGGGCCGACCACAACCATAGACGCATCGAGGCCAATAATCAGGAGACGACGGGGTGAAGTCTCTATGGACGTCAATAATGCCGAAGGGACACAACGGCTCGGACTTGGGCGGATAGAAGTAGAATTTTTTTTCCGGTGAGATGCGCTGGCTGCCGTCGACCGGAAGAACCGATATGAAAACGTCGTTGAGGAATGTCTCGTGGGGATTGAAGAGAACAAATTTGCGATTGGGGTTAGGGTTTGTGAGATGGTGTAAAGCACGGGTTTGATTGGATATGCGACGGAGCGGGTAACCGATTAAACTGCGGGAGGATCTGCTGAGCCTTAAGACCATCTCCAATGTCTTTCCATGGCAAAAAAAAATCTAATGTAGCATGGAAGATCTCTAGAAGACTTTCTAAATGTAGAAGTACTTCTAAACAACTTCTATCATATATTATATTATTTATTTAATTTATTTCTCTTCTCCAACCATTGCAATTTTACACATCACAAATAATACCACAATTAAGACACAACTTTTTAATTTCCTTTCTCCATATCCTATAACACAAAATGTAGATTTTTCCATTAGAGATGTTCGTGGATTTGGATTTTGCTTGAGATTCAACATTTGACTTTTATTTATCGTAAGCTTTCATCTCATTTTGGTTATGAGTTTGGAGTATTTGATTTATACAATGTTTTGTGTTCATCTTGACATGAGTGACTAAATCTTTGAGCTAGGGATAGGGATGATTACTCGTGTTTGTGTGTAGCATCTCCTGTGTACTCAATGTCAATGTTAAATGTCCATGCCACTTGTTTGTACTTAATTGGATAACTGATTCCCTCAATACCAGCGTTGACAGTAAGAATAGGAACAGTCAAATTCGTCGTACAATGCACACACTTTCTTTCGTAGGGATTCTGTTAAACTAATTTTTAAATGCACCACTCTCTTTCATACTTGTTAATGTGATTCTGCTAATTTTTAAACTTGTAATATATTGAACTAGTACTTGTTGGGATTCTTTTAATAAATTGAACGTAGAGTTCTCCTACTGTGTTTGTTATTTCATATATTCAGGTCTGAGAATGTTAAATAATAACCTTAATCTGATTTTAAAATATTTAGAGACTCATTTTAAAATATGCAAAATAAAATAATAAAGTAGTTTTTAGAAGACTAATAAACAAAATAAAATGATAAATTAGTTTTTAAAAGACTAACTAAATTCATTGGATATCAACAAAACATACGTAACACTTAATTATTTTTTTTTAAGAAATATTTCAAGCATAAAACATATCAACACACCAATAAAAAATCATTTGAAAAAAAAAATAACAAAATTTTAATTACAAGTAACTACAATTAATTATTTCAAATTAAAAAAAAAATTGCTTTTATCTCTACGAAATAAAATAAACAATAAAGTAGTTTAGTTTTTTAACATGTTGAAAGTGTAATTACTAAAACAAATATTAAAATTAAAATTTTAATTGTTAATTATTTTGAATTTAAAAAGATGATTTCATCTATAAAAAAAATAAATAATATTAGTGACTTTTTCTCAATTTTTAGTCGTTTCGCCTGATGAGTTGTCCTGTTGAACAGACTTTCTATGGGCAGACAGTAGCCTTAACGATGTTATCGCCATGTCAGGTTAACATGGTTTATAAAATAACGCATTGGAGGAAATAATATAAAGACGATGTCTACACGTATCTACTTTTTCTCTGTCAACAGTTCCCATTAAAGATGCTCTAACTTGGAGACGGTTCCCAACAGTCTCGATGGGAGTTCCATATGTACTTGCAGAGTGCAAAGAATAGAGAACGCAAAGATTAGGATTTACTTGGGAGGGATTAAGAAGGAATTTGCACCATATGCTATCATATTTCATTTATATATAATATTTATGGGAGATTCTAACAGTTACCAATCCCTACGGAATAGTTCGGTAATGGAATTGCAGCATTCCCCAATATTTATACATTCATTTTAGTTTTATTTATATAATAACTAAATCAACCCCAAAATATTATAAATACACAGCTTTGTGGCTGCAACCAATTCAACCACTATCAAGGAAATTTCGGGCAAATGAAATATGATTAGAAGATTAATTGTGATGAAATCGTTATTTTTTCCTTATGTGATATAATCTAAATTCGGTATTAAATTTTTAAATTCAAACATTTAATAAAAAATCCTAAACAGATTTTATTGGGTAAATTTCATTTTATGTTGATTTTCCTATAATCACATTCCTAACAAATTAATTAATAATATATTTTTTTATCTACTTTATCAAACTGATTTTTTATGATATAATTAAAATAATATCTTATCTAATTAACCATATATTAAATCGGATTTATCTCTCTAACAAACTTGCCAATTTTTTGAAATTAAAATAGTATGATTATTCTTATGGAGATACTTACCGGTATATTAAACATTTAGAAACTTTTTTTAAGAAATGAGTTGTCCCTCCTTTTACTTTATTTGAAATTCTGATTTATATTTATAAATATATTATTATTTATTTATTTTTACGTGTAAATATTAATTATTTATTATCTAAGTGATAAATATTATTGATTTATCTCTTTAATAAATATTTATTATTTATTTTTTCCTTACCTGATATAATCTAAATTTGGTTATTAGATTTTTAAATTCAAACATTAAAGGAAAAGATCACAAACAGATTTTTTGGGTAAATTTTATTTTATCTTGATTTTCATATAATCACATTCCTAACAAACTAACTAAAATTATATTTTTTATCTACATTATCTAACTGATTTTTGTATAATATATTTAATATAATATCTTAACTAATTAATCATTTATCTACCGAAATTATCTTTCTACAAACTTGACAATTTTATTGAAATTAAAATGGTATGATTATTCTTACAGAGATACTTAACAATATACTAAACATTTAGAATTTTTTTTTTGAAAAAATGAGTTATCCCTCCTTTTACTTTATTTGAAATTCTAAGTTATATTTTTAAATATATTATTATTATTATTTTTTTCTTACGTGTAAATATTGATTATTTATTATTTAAGTGATAAATATTATTGATATATATTTTTAATATATGTTTATTATTTATTTTTCCCTTACGTGATATATTCTAAATTTGGTTATTAGATTTTTAAATTCAAACATTTAAGGGAACAGATAACAAGCAGATTTTTTGGGTACATTTCATTTTATCTTAACTTCTACATAATCACATTCCTAACAAACTAACTAATATAATTACATTTATCTAACTGAAATTTTCAAAATATAATTAATATAATATTTTAAATAATTAATCTTTTATCTTACCGAATTTATCTAATTAACAAACTTGCCAAAAATTTTAAAATTAAAATAGTAATATTATTTTTACGGTTATACTTACCAGAATATTAAACACTTTAAAAACTTTTTGAAAACAAATTTGAATTATTTCGTCTTTTACTCTATTCGAAATTCAAACTTAATATTTTAAATATATTCATAAACATTATTATTTATTTATTCCTTATGTGATATAATCTAAATTTGGTTATTAGATTTTTAAATTCAAACATTTAAAGGAAAAGACCACGAATAGATTTTTGGGTTACATTTCATTTTATCTTAACTTCCATATAATCACATTCCTAACAAACTAATTAGTATAATATTTTTTAATCCACATTTATATAATCAGATTTCTTAAAATATAAATATAACCAATTAGTCATTTGTATAACTTGATTTATCTCATTAACAAAATTTCCAAATTTTTTTGAAATTAAAAAAATTTGGATGATTTTGATTTGTAAAAAAATAAAAAATAGCTTTACTTTAAAGTTTGCATTCTTTCCATTATTTTTTGTACATTAACAATCATATATTGGATAATTGATTTAAAAAAAAAAAAACAAAACCGTAAGGTTTAATAATATTCCTTAAATAAAAAATATTGTATAAAGAGTTATACAATATTTTTTATTTAAGATGGAGATTAGTATTCCTGGTTACGCCCCTGATCCTCTCCCCAAGAAACCAAAAATACTCCATCTCTCCCAAACATACAAATAAACTTCTCTTGAAATTGAAGCTCCAAGCCGTTCCCACAAAAAAAATGAATCCCAAGGCGGCCGAAGTTAATTAAGACGGAGATGGCAATTTTGTGTCCGAACATAAAATAAATAAAAAAAAAATGAAAAATAAAAAAGATGCCCGACGATACCAAGAACATGAAGGTTAGAGACGACAAGGGTATAGCGAAAATTGTTGATTCTTCAAAGAATCAACAAGAGCCTAATTTAGATTTCATACTTGATGAAGAGGAAGAAGAACATTCAAGTGAAGTGGGTTCAGATGTCTCAAATACACTAGACACCCGAGCTCGACCTAATGAAGGATGATGAAGTGACCTCAAATACCCTAGAGACCCGAGCTAGCTACCAGAATGCGACTTGACTAAGGTCTAGTGACCTCAATAAGCCTCGATTTGTACTACGACTAGAATAAAGACCCAGGTAACACCCATAGTGTCAAATGGTCAATATAAGCATAACCATGAGCATAAGGATGAATCTCAGGTAATGCACCCAGGCAGTCAGCTAGCCTTTGGGTCAGCCCGTTGTACTTTCAGGCAGCTCTTTCTTGGCACCAAGATACATAATTAATTGGGCATCAAGGTAAGTAAACTATACATAGGGGCAAGACATGCATAAATGCTTCTTCTCCTCATCTAATATATATTCAATATTCTAATATAATATTCCGCATTTTTTTCATGTTAACTTGATCATTGGAGTGCTAATGGCGAGACCTCTCCCGACGCTTGTTTTGAGATCACCAGTTCGGTCATAGAGTTTCACCCCGTGATAATCAGGTCTTCGAGGTCATAAACTCGAGTTTCTAAGTGATCCAACCAGCCAGAACCTATGTTATTTGATTCACTATCATATTCTCCATTATTTTTTTTTTCCATTTTTCAATCTTATTTGAACCAAAGTCATAATTTTTTATTTTTTTTTTTTCATTTTTCAATCTTATTTGAACCTGTTGATATCAGAATAAAAAAGATCATGAAAATCGAATCGCAAAACAGTTCTTTGGCATCAAACTCTCGGAATGGCCACCTCGTTTTCTAAAACAGACCGTGGCCCCTAAAGATCATCAATACAGAATATTAATACCTCGGTATTAGGAACTCCGACTTAATGGAGGAATATGAGAAGTCCCTAAATCTGCGCCAGCTGAGATGAGAATTAGTCTGTTGAAGGTCATAGAGAACTAAAAGTCCATAGGAAAGCCGATGTCATTGGAGAAACCGACTTTAGCCCGACAGAAGTGACGCTTGTCACACAAATAGAGGAGCGCCCATGCTCATCATTGTCTAAAAAGCTTGCCAATGTCATAGCCGCCCCTAAGCCGTCAAATCCACATTAAATAAAGTTGATTTATCTTGGGAGGTGTGCCGAACATAATTATAAATAGTAGCAATAAAGACAGTACGGGGGTTCTTTTGGACGCATTAAATTCACTCATTTATTACCTCGGTTTTCTCTTTTTCCGACTACCTGTATTAAAATACCGACTTAATCGAAATTGTAACAACCTCAAAGAATCTAATAAAAAATCATATTCTCTGCAATTCTCATTGTGTTTTTTTATCTTAATTACGTTGATTTAATCCGTTTATCAACATTTTGGCGCTAGAGGAAGGGCTCCATAAGATATTTGGAGTTAATTTTCGAAAATCAAAACACACCACATCTCAAAATCAAGAATGTCGCAATCCGGACAGGATAATCCGACGACCATGGGAAGCGCCGTTCGGGTTGTGGAGGCACCCACCGGTCAACATAATCCGGTACCCGTGATGCCGGATCTCACCACGCTCATGAAAAACCCAGAATTTGCCTGGGGGTTTACTGCTTTACTGGCCCAAACCATGCCGGGGCCGTCACAGAGGGTGCCGGGGAAATCCCTTGCCCCGATAACTCTGGCAAGACAACGAGTCCCGCCCATACAAGGGCGTGACAACAATCAGGCCGCGTCACATGCAACTTCACAACCACGCAACAACAATC